TTCCAGGTTACTTATCCATTCTTCTTTTTTTTTAATTTTAGAATTTTATTTATTTTTTTATACAGCAGGTTCTTATTAGGTATCCATTTTATACATATTAGCGTATATATGTCAATCCAAATCTCCCAATTCATCACACCACCACCACTCCACCCCTGCCACTTTCTCTCCTTGGTGTCCATACATTTGTTCTCTATATCTGTGTCTCCATTCTTATGCCTCAGTTATTCTGCTATTGATTCCTTCTAGTGTATTTTTCATTTCAGTTATTGTATTGTTCATCTCTGTTTGTTTGTTCTTTAATTCTTCTAGGTGTTCTTTAATTCTTCTAGGCTTTTGTTAAACATTTCTTACATATTCTCGATCTTTGCCTCCATTCTTTTTCTGAGGTCCTGGATCTTCCTCACTAACATTATTCTGAATTCTTTTTCTGGAAGGTTGCCTATCTCTGCTTCATTTAGTTATTTTGTCTGGGGTTTTATCTTGTTCCTTCATCTGGTACATAGCCCTCTGCCTTTTCAACTTGTCTATCTTTCTGTGAATGTGGTTTTTGTTCCCCAGGCTGCAAGATTGTAGTTCTTCTTGCTTCTGCTGTCTGCCCTCTCACAAAGTAACTGACTTTTTCAATAAACTTCCAGTAGGCACCAAGGGTAAAGTATGAAACTCCTTATTAGTTAAAATGGGTAGTAGGTGAGTTACCGTCATCCTAAAGCTGGAGACAATTTTTGCTTGACCTCAAATGATGAAGCAGTGAAAAGCTCTATTTGACTCAAAATGGAGTTCATTGGTCATTTGAAGAAGAAGGCAAAGGATCACTGCCACCCAAGGTTCAATCAGGGAAACTGGAGTCAGAAAGCATCCTGCAAATATGACAAAGATTTCTAACTGAAGTGTAACCTTGGTGTCAGTGTGGCGATCTAATTAAATTTGACTCAAAGCCAAGTTCTATAGCTTTCCTCCAAAACTTCTCACATTTCCTTCAAGTTCTCAGGACTTACTTCTACAAAGTTGCACTCCCTTTCTAAGCTCCCTCAAAAATAAGAACAAATTCTCTTTTGTTTCATATTAATCTGCTTCCGTAAGAAATCCACTCCCATCCTCTTGGTCTTTCCTGTCCAGTATGGTAGCCACTAACCACATGTAGCTGTTTAAATTTAAATTTAATTGACAAAAATTAAATAAAATTAAAAATTCAACTCTTCATTTTCACTAGCCATATTCCAAGTGCTCAATGGCTATATGTGGTTAGTGGCTACTGCATTGATAGCACACTTTAGGACATATCAATCATCACAGAAAATCTTATGGGACATTTGTACTAGTGTGTCATGAATTGATGTGTGCTTACTGAATATTTGTGGATATATGTCAAGAGGTCATATTTCTACTTTCCATCAGAAAATTCACTTTGATCTAAACATTTTTAACCATGTTTCTCTTTTCAGCAATGTACCATCCGTCTATAGAGATATATCAGTGTACATGCTTCCACTTGAAGGAGTTTCTTAGGAAGCAAAGTAGAATCATCACATAGATGACAACAAGTTGCTTTCAAGTGGGTTTAGAGCATGAATTTTTCCAAGAGAAGAAGTAAAACATTTCTCCCTGAGAAAGTGGTGAATGTCAAAAAAAACAACAAAAAACAAGTAACAAAAAAAACTTAAGTGAAGCTTTTGTCTGGGAAAAAGAAAGATATGAGTGAGCTTGTTTGTTCTCTAGAAGAAAACATCTAAGAAGAAAAGGGGCAGGTTTGGAAGTGACTACTCTTTCTTAGGTCACTGGTCAGATTAGCACTAAAACCTCCTCAGCATAAGGTTATAGAGGTGAGGTAGGCATGATCCCAGACCTGAAGTAGCTAAAAGATTTATTATGAATCAGGCAGAAAACAGAATTTAAATACAGGTATGTGCTCTTCAATAAGTGGTACTGGGAAAACTGGGCAGCCACATGTAAAAGAATGAAATTAGAACACTTCCTAACACCATACACAAAAATAAACTCAAAATGGATTCGAGACCTAAATGTAAGGCCAGACACTATAAAATTCTTAGAGGAAAACATAGGCAGAACACTCTATGACATAAATCACAGCAAGGTCCTTTATGACTTACCTCCTAGAGAAATGGAAATAAAAACAAAAATAAACAAATGGGACCTAATGAAACTTAAAAGCTTTTGCACAGCAAAGGAAACCATAAACAAGACCAAAAGACAACCCTCAGAATGGGAGAAAATATTTGCAAATGAATCAACTGACAAAGGATTAATCTCCAAAATTTACAGGCAGCTCATGCAGCTCAATAACAAAAAAACAAACAACCCAATCCAAAAATGGGCAGAAGACCTAAATAGACATTTCTCCAAAGAAGATACACAGATGGCCAACAAACACATGAAAGGATGCTCAACATCACTGATCATTAGAGAAATGCAAATCAAAACTGCAATGAGGTATCACCTCACACCAGTCAGAATGGCCATCACCAAAAAATCTACAAACAATAAATTCTGGAGAAGGTGTGGAGAAAAGGGAACCGTCTTGCACTGTTTGTGGGAATGTAAATTGATACAGCCACTATGGAGAACAGTATAGAGGCTCCTTAAAAAACTAAAAATAGAACTACCATACAACCCAGCAATCCCACTACTGGGCATATACCCAGAGAAAACCATAATTCAAAAAGAGTCATGTACCACAATGTTCATTGCAGCTCCATTTATAATAGCCAGAACATGGAAGCAACCTGAGTGTCCATCGACAGATGAGTGGATAAAGAAGATGTGGCACATATATACAATAGAATATTACTCAGCCATAAAAAGAAACGAAATTGAGTTATTTGTAGTGAGGTGGATGTACCTAGGGTCTGTCATACAGAGTGAAGTAAGTCAGAAAGAGAAAAACAAATACTGTATGCTAACACATATATATGGAATCTTAAAATAAAAATGGTTCTGAAGAACCTAGGGGCAGGACAGGAATAAAGACACAGATGTAGAAAGTGGACTTGAGGACACGGGGAGGGGGAAGTGTAAGCTGGGATGAAGTGAGAGAGTGGCATGGACATATATACACTACCAAATGTAAAATAGATAGCTAGTGGGAAGCAGCCGCATAGCACAGGGAGATCAGTTCGGTGCTTTGTGACCACCTAGAGGGGTGGGATAGCGAGGGTGGGAGGGAGACGCAAGAGGGAGGACATATAGTGATATATGTATATGTATAACTGATTCACTTTGTTATAAAGCAGAAACGCAGCATTGTAAAGCAATTATACTCCAATAAAGATGTTTTTTTAAAAAGATAAATATGTAGTATGAATAAACTGCTTATCATAGTGCCTGACAGCAAGAAAGCACTTTGTACATGGAAGCTGGTGATAGTGGTAGCAGAAGTACCAACAGTGGCATTGTTACTGACCAGGGTTCTTGGCTTCCTTAATCAATAGAAATTCATCAGAGGCCAGACAAGAAATTCAGGCAAGGCTTTATTAGGGGCCCTGCTGCAGCAGCGGGTAGCGGAGAACAAACCACAGGTCCCCTTGTTTGTTCATTCCCTGAGTGGGGGCGAGCTTGCTCCTTATATGGGGTGAGGGTAGGGGTGTGTCCAGGGGTTGGGCTAGAAGTGTGGCTTAGGTGTTTTGCTCACCCCTTAGGTGGTATTGTGTGCAGGGGGCATGTGCAGTACCCTGCTTTTGCTCCTGACTCCCTGCTTTTGCTCCATGCTCTTCAAAAGTGGCAGCTGGGTTTTTTGGTCTCTTTGTATCTTTTGTCCAGAATTTGCACCAGCTGAGCATGCACGCAGTTATGTTTAGTCCCATACAGCATTTTTGTATTTTGTTGCTTGAGGAGAGGTGTGTCCAGGTGCAAGCATTGCATCACTGCAGCAAAGGGTCCCAGATTCCACCCTGTCTCAGCATAAAGGCGTTCTTTTTATTTAACATCAAATGATGTTTGTATTTCTAAAGGTAGTAGAAGATGAGGTGTTTAAGCACATGAGTGTCTATGTTGTTTGTTCCTAGTACATTTGATGTACCCCTTTGTTACCAAATCCAGGTTCGGTTGCTTCTTGCACAGGAGCCAATAATTCGAGAAGCAAGTGTCAGTAGAAAGGAAAGGTGCTTTAATCAGAAAAGCCAGTAATCTAGGGAGAAGGTGGACTTGTGTCCAGAGACCAACTCTGAAGATTCTGCTCAGCCATGACAGTTTTGAAAGGAGAAAAAGGAGGAAGAATCTCAATGAATCATCGATGCAGGAAGTTGGATTCTGCATCATTCCCCATTGCTTGCAGACTGGCTGACTCTTCAGATGTTATCTTGCCTGCGTGATCAGCCTGCAGGATTGCTAAGGGGGCTGTTGAGAATAGAGAGCTTGTCATTTTTTAACTGCTTCATTCTTCATTCTTACTTCTTTTTATTTAGGAAAAGAGTCAGCAAGTTAGACAAGACACGGTGTGCATTCAAAAGAGCATAAGTCAGGAGTTAGGTTAAATTGCCTAGTGAGCTCATTCCTATAATTAAGTTCTTTTAAGGGTAAAGGGGAACAGAAATGGGCAAACAGGAAAGGGGCAAAAGAGCTGTTTTCACCTTGAAACCTTGCCTGCTGTGCCTCAGCTGGGTTAGTCAATGTCCACCATTCACAGGTACAAAGCATAGCACAAGCAAAGGATCTATGTCAATAATGAGCGTCGT